TTTTCTTCCTAACTCAGTGGCAACTTTAGCTGTGAAGATAGTGGGTCAAACGTAGAATAGAGGAACTTTTATTCCTCATAGCGGGAGTGAGCTCAAAAGTTGACAGATGGGTGTAACAGAGATAAAGATAGAGGGAGAGTATGCAGAATGAAGGGTATGGGATTTGTCACTGAGGCTCTTATAGGCATAAATCACACAGAAATCACTATAAAAGGGGTACAATTTGGTGATAACAGAGTTCGTGGGAAGGATTGGAACGCGGCTCATGGTGGTTAAGCTGTGACCAAGGGCAGCGAACTCTCGTTGAGTTAAACCAGGAAAGAATAATGGATAAAAGCACAAAGACAGAAATGAGGGAGTGTGAACTCTTCACTGTGGAATAACCACCACTTCAACTGTATTCAGAGCACATCAAGACCGTCTCGTAGTTAGGCGATGATGTCCACTCCGCAAGCTACCAAAGCACTGCTATTCAAGGGCTGGGTAGCATATAGTAAATACGAAAGAGCGACGCACAGCAGTTGTTTCCAAATATGGGCAAGGCAGTTTTCCGGCGCTACTTTTGTGGACTCGCGAACTAAAGTTCACTGCATCTAACAAAACGTTACGTTGACATTTGGGGTGCTGTTTAACTAAAACTCAAGGTCGCCATAATCTCACACTCTGAGGTTTGTGAGTCCAAATGGCTAGGGCAAGTAAAACAAAGCGTATACAATGGAAACATTTTATTGAATAAATGTATAGACCGGATTAAAGTGAAGCTTTAGGTTGTACTGCAGACATGAAATCAAGCTGATTTGAAACGGATTAGCGTAGAACAACACTATCAGCACATTTCCGGAATCTATTATTTATTATGTTATTTTCACACACGTCTGAATACAGACCGTGTGTCAAACATATCACAGTACAATAATCTTCATGAAAAAGAAAAACGTTCCATTACCTGCATGTGGACTGAATACTGTGGGTTTCCCAGGCCAAGGCAGGTGAATTTCCTTGAGGAATCCACAACCGGAGCCGTTGGCTAGCCAAGGCCTGACCCGCAAGGCAGCGGGTCGATGTGTAAAAACCGCAATCCATTGCGGGCCGGTGTCCAGTTCATCGGATCATACACCCTTTGGACGGGGTAAAACNAAGAGGCCCAATCGAGCCGGTGACCACTGCTACAACCAGAAAGTTGTGTGGAATCGTACGCCTCCTCGTGGTCGGTTAGGAATCAGGGTTTTTGGCCAACTTCCCTAGATGAATTACCAGTGGTTCATCAATCCGGTTATAGCACCGGATGTCAGGCAGATGGGGAAGCGGATCAAACACTAAACTCGTTTGTGAACAAATCAGGGAGAGGGGGGCGGAAGAAGATTATTCTAAAGTACACCAGAGTTGTTTATCAATTGGACGGGACCAAATCTTACCCAACATGACATGTTCATCTATTTGGTCATCATGTAATGCTAGAAACAGTGGCATTGAGCAACCGAAGAAGAAGAAGAGAAGAGAAGTATATCATAAACAGACTTATCACAATCTGTCAGAGACTTGTGTATGGAGTGGAAGCCAGTAAATATGGTGGCTAAGTTGAATCTATTAGTTTTGTATGCAAGGTAGAGAGGAGAATGAGCACTAATCAAATAGAAACATCAACTGCTAAGAATAGCATGCGAGCTAAGTCAGTTTTACCCCTGTCGGAAACATTTTGATAAAGTACTAGAGGTAGAAGTTTCAAGAGTTACAAACGAAATAGACATGCCTCCGTATGTGCTTATTGCTTGAACTCATCGATAAATTTACCGAAGAGAGCTATCAATAATTAGCTCATTGAGTTGATCGGCGTTAGACTTGAGGAGTGCGGGCGATAGACCATTCGGATTAACCGCAAACCTCGGTTCGGAGGGTCCGAGTAGCTACCAGAGAGAGATACCTTTGTGGAGAAAGGGTCAATCCCAAGTGGCCTGACAAAGGCAAGCATATCCGGGGACAAGTGAATGAATACGGGGTTCATTTCAGCAATGTGAATGTTTGCAGTTTTCCCCGGCAGGGGCAAACTTTTCATTCTTGCGTTAAGCTCATGGACTGGAAAACGATTCATTCAGACACTTCATTTCACATTCGCTTTGACTGGATAGCTAATGTACTGCATCAAAATCCCTCCGGTCTCTTTAAGGTCAAATAAGCGGGAGCTTATTTTAAGGTTTCTTGAGAAAAAGATTTGAACAGTGGTCTTCCAATTCAGAAAGACTTTCACTTGTTAATCATAATCTTCATATATTGTAGGCTAAGAGGCAGATGAAAACAATGGAACGAGCATAGTTAAAGAAAGTTTGAAAAGGATAACGTTACTGGTTGAAATTTTCTAGTGGATTGCTCAATAAGTGTTCAGCTGAGTAAGTGAGCGAATCGCTGGCGCAGAGTAAACCTTTAGACTGTGAAGGAGGAGATGGGGAAACAAGAGGCTTACGGCTATTGGATCAGAGGGTTTTGTAATAACCCTGTCCTACAATATTCGGATGTATCGTGTTCTCACTGGTGGCATGCATTAACTGAAAAGACAGTAATGGGTTATTGGTAATGTGGGTAAATCAATGTGATTTACCGCTGATGAAGTGTCGCCAGTTTTGCATTAGTCTGACTGTAGTTACCTTCACAATAAATTCTGAGGTCCAAATTTTACTGCTGCACTGTTTGGTACTTGAGTAGATCGTTATATATATATATATTTATATATAGTTCTCTTTATCCTCTTATTGCGATAAGAACGGAAACAAATTATCACGCAAGTAAGCTGACGTAACACATTCAATCATTCTTTTCTTTCCACTGTAGCAAATTAGTTGGTACAGAACCCTAGACAAGCAACAAATTTCTTCCGGCACTACTCTGAAAGATCCCGTACGGCGTGGCCCACACGGTGTCTCCAAGTATGCTGTTCGATTTTTACCTGGTCGACCGGGCTACGCTCCCAATATGGCCGGAGTGGATGTGACCAAACTGAGAACCTATCAGTTGATCGTTCGATTTGTGGACATAAACGATGCGAACACAAAGTTCCGTTGTGTTATTGAACTCCGTGAGTGTTTGTTAGATTGAATGAGTCTCATTTACAGCCAGCCATGTGATATCCATCCCACATGAGTTGAGCAGACACTGGCAGATTTCGTCAAGGTTATGTCCACCAAATCCTCATTGTTCAACACGTAGTAGTGAACTCAGAGGCTTCATTTGTAGGACCAGTGTTTTATCTAACGGAAGTTGGATCTCTGTTACGAACATTCCTTTTCAGTCTTGCTTGGTGTGCGATCACATTTATAAGAGTATCTTGCGCGGCCAAATTGCCATCTGCCTTGATGAAATGTGTATTCTGGATGGTCTAATTGCTCAGGATAGACTTCTCAGTTAGAGCCTCAGGGAAAAGTGACACTAGGTGATCTGGTTAAGTCCGCAGTACTATGCAAGACTGCCCATGTAATTACTTAGTTTCGTCACGTAATTATCTTTTCTCACACTGCATACTTTGGATTTGACAGGTCGCTTATTCCTTTGTTTTTCATTATTGTGTGTTGAAATTAATATGACAGAATATGTTCTGCCTAAACGTACGATCGATATAAACGTCACTTGCCTAGCCTCCAACAATGATACGGCAGAGGGAACCTATCTGGAGAACAACGGAGTGTATAAATGATCATGCAGCGATATACATATATATGTATATATATATATATATATATATATATATATATATATAT